ATACAGCCTACCTAGTTCTACCTGTTTCAAGGAATGAACTTGAATAAACTTTTTTTTCCTATTGACACTTTGTCTTCCTCTCGCCAGCTTTTTTCATCCAACTTTTTGACACTCAGATCCTCCTACCTGTTCTCTTGTCTTGACATTTCCTTAAGATAGTTGTCCTAACTTTGTGGTATTTTCACATCAAGCCTAAATCTTTAACACTTAAATCAGTTATCAATTAAAACATTAAACACTAGATCACTCTCAGCCTCTACTTTTCTTGTGAGGTAAAGCATAATATATAAAATATTATATATTTTGTAATTAAATATATAAAAATATTATATATAAAAATATATAAAATAAATATAAAATATTTTATATATACACCCTTGCTCAAACATTTTTCCATGACTGGAGATTTCTGTCTCTATTTCTGCCAAAACTAATCATAATTCTATTTGAAATGCCTTTTTGTTTGTGCAATTTTTGAGATCTTTTCTTCTAGAATCAGAAGTCATCATCTCTGCTCATCTTACGAGATTTTGTATTTATTGAGCACATACTGAATGTTCATTACTTTGTTAGGCACTTAACACATATCCCATTTAACTTTCTTTAAAACCCTGGATTAATGGATCTCAATTTTTTCAAATTCAGTGGTCTATTTTATAACACTGTTTTATAATGACATTTTTACTACCCTGAATTTGAATTCACAGAATAAACAACATACTTATATGCTTAATTTCAAAAAATCAATGTAATTTTATTGTGGTAAAAGATAAATTTAAAACTTACAATGATGGATATTTAAATATGTAAATGTTTGGACACAACTACAGTAGACAGCTTACTGAAGCAGTCATTTTTTTTTTTTACCTGTTTACAACAAATAAGTTTTGATTTTGGAGAAATAAAGATCAGAAATCATTCTGTACATGAACTATAAGAGGATCAAAGAGAAGAGATATTATACATTAATACAAAAATATGTTAAGATAAATATTCACAGAAAAGGTATTAATGTATAATATGAAACAGCAAAATGAGAAATAATCAGTCAAATAAAGGATAAACATAACAAGACAAATTACAAACTGAGCTGGGGAAAATGAGAAAGTATGATATAATCTTGTCAGACAGTGTGATACATGGAATGTGTTCAAATATATCTTATCAATCCCAAGAAAGCAAGAAAGTACCATATTTGTCAAGCATTCTAGCCAACTGGGACCCTTCTTGATCTAAGATCTTGGGTTATGTATTTTAGTATTGCTTGCAAACATTTGATAGTCCCCTCCTTTATTTTGCTCCATAATTAGAAATACAATTAAATTAATTCTTAGATTTTTCCATAACTCAAAACTATTAATATTTAAAAAGCTCTCTCTCCCTATTTTTTTAAATAGAAGTTACTCTAAGAGCTATTTATGTTGGTGGCAGGACAGCATGTGAAAATAGTAGAAATAGAATTTGGAAAGAATTAATTCATGGCTAAGGACTAGAGGAGAGGCCTCTCGTGCCCCTACAGACATATACTAGTGATTTGTAATCCACTAGACTCTGATGTTACCCAGATATTGGCAAGAGCACTGCCACAGATTTCCCTCTGATGTTCCTGTAGTAACTATAGCTTAGTTTAGCCTCTAATGTGGGTTGGAACATGTTAAATTGAATCATGTTTTTCCTTCCAGCATTTGACCAAATAAGTAGCACTTGACTATGCCCCCTCTTCCTCTAAACACACTAACATTAAGTCACCAGCCTATAATTGTGGGCATGATGACTAACATTTGTGTAACTCTCTTTCCCAAATTTAAGTTCATATCATGTACTCTACAAAGCATATCCTGTCAAGACCAGTGGTTAAGTATTTGTGGTGGTTTTCATTTGAAGAGTTATGGGTTTTCATTAATGCTAATGTTTCCTTTGAGTGGAAAGTATGTTCAACCAAGTGCTCCTTTGAATGGGATTTTCAGATTTCACTCAAACACAGCTGCTTTCAAGGGAGAGTAATGCAAAGACAATTTCTGCCAAATTACACTTTCATACAACTTAAGGTGGGGCTCCTGAAGTACTGACACATTTTCCAAAACCAGATATATCATTTATTTTGTTTTTGTGCATGTAGTAATTGGCAGACTAAAAGTGATGGAGTTTATTCAGTCATCTTTTTCCCTTCTGGTTTGGCACTCACTGCGGTAGCTAATGAATATGATAGTGGGAGTTTACCTGTTGTCTTGCAGCTACTGGGGCTGCTTGGCATTCATTTTCACAGATGCCTAATTGTTGTTGCTGTTCTGCCTCCAGGGACAAATAGGATCTTATTGGCTCATCTAGGGACAGTATTAGTCCAATGGAGCACTCTTATAGCAGTTGGATCAGTTCTGCTTGATGAGTTGTAAATTCAGTTTTATTTCTGGAGATGATAACAGATAATGTTTCTGATGCAAAAGGGTAGAACCATGGTAATAAGAAAACCTAATATATTTTTAGCTTTCATAAAAAAATCTTATGTCTTCTTTGTAGATTAAATTAATCGAGAGCTTAAAGTTTCAAGTTCAAAAATATATATTCAAACAATTTTAAGCACTGAATAAGTACTGAGAAAACACTGGTTTATGTAACATAAAAGTCCAAAGGCAGCATTGACTTTATTTGTGGCTGGATCTAGAAGCTCGAACAATGTTATCAGGGGCAATTTTTCTTCACCGCTTGGCTTTGCCTTGCTTTGCCTTAGCTCCATTCTCAGGAAAGCTCCCCTTTGGGTAGCAGTATGGATACCAGCAGTTTAAGCTTATGTCTCGACAGTTTAAAATCCAAAACCAGAACAACAAAAGGAAGGAAGGGAAATGTTTGTTTTCTTCAATAATCTTAGAAAATATTCTAATCGTGTATATTACTGGCTCTAAGTGGCTCATGTGTTCTCTCTTGAACCAATCACTGTGATCAGAGGCTTGAATACTCTGATTGGTCAAATAGAAATCCCATGCTCACTACTAGACTAACAGTGAAGTTAATATCATCATACTGCTTGGTCTAAAAGTGGTATAAGGTAGTCTTTGATGAAAATCAGTGTGATTTACCTGCAGAAGGATGAAGGAATGAATGAATGGGTTTAGCCATTCCCACCCCAACCCCCATTTTATCAGAAGAGACAAAAGACTCTTGCTGTATAATCATTATCCATATACTGGTTAACATTGAACTGTAGTTTTTAAGCAGATTAGATAGCCTTTAAATTTTCCTTATCTGAAAGTTAAGCCTGAGACCATGGGCAAATGTGAGGGTCCAGAGACACTTCAGGAAGCATCTTGTATTCTGAGGAGCTCCAGAAATTCCTAATTTCTCTTGTTTCTAGTTCCATATCATGAAACCAAGGAACCTGTGGGTCTAGCTGGAAAAGTCCCATGTGGGGAAAAACTACTAGAAGTGTTGATTCTAATTGCTGTGCTTTGAGAAGATCTCTAGGACCCAGTGGGTGACTCCAGAGACATTTCATACTTTTTTTCTTAATCAGGAGCCTCTCTGGGGCTTTGCCCCACTTGTAGCATAAAAGAATTGGGATGTGTCACTATAGCTAAGAAGCAAGATACGCATAAGAAAAGTTTAAAAAAAAGGGAGGTAACTAGAGCTAGGATAAAAAATATAATTTTTACATAACTCTGAGTCAGAACTGGTAGATAAAAAATTATCATATAATTTTATAGTTATTCTTGCAGGATTATCTAATAATAGGACACAATGAATGTATGTCATGGAAGTGAGATATTTATGGATAAAATTTTTGAATGAGGAAATGGCATGAAGGGTGTGGCATTCACTCCTGGTCACTTTCCAAGACTGTGCTGAGGAAGCCGGCTGAAGCCGAGAGTCCCAGCAGCCAGTCACCCACCTATAATGACTGCTGTAAGGGCTAGAAACTTGGCAGCTAGAAGTGTCGTGAGGACAGTTTAGAAATTTCTCATGGTATCTGAGAGAGTCAGCCTGAAGACGTTCACTAAGAAGCAAAATACTCTGCCTGCCTTTTTCTGCATCGAAAATCTTGCAACCTAATTTATTATACCAGTTGAACAAGAATTAATGATTCTCAGAGAAATGAAAATTTGCTCTCTAAGAATATAGGTAACTAATAAAATTTCCTTGGCAATAGTGATTCAGAGATGTGAGAGTATATTTTACATCTAATATTTTGAATCCAAAAGCTATTGACTTCTTTCTTTATTAAAAATTCATACTTTTTTTTCCTCTCATGTAAGGGTTTTATTTTGAAAACCATGTTGCTTCAGCCTAAATATGCTATCTGAGCTCAAGATGGACAGTATTTTCAACTCTGTAGGAAGCCACTGTTGCCAAGAACAGATTTCAAACTGGCAGGTCAATTAGGAGTATGGAACCCCTGCTTCTAGGCAAATTTCCAGGCTGACTCAGAGCAGCACGTCAAGGGCTCTTCTCTGCTGGCAAGGTGTGTGACCTCGCCACATTTACATTTTCTTTTCAGAAAAAAAAAGTACTGAAGAATTTTACCACTCATTTTTCAGAATGTAATTGTAGCTTCACAAATTACAAAAGTACTAAAATTTAAAAATTGATTAATTTATTATATTCAATAATTTTTTGAATCATCTTAATTATTTTCACTTAAAGGTATTTTAGATATATTTTGTAAATTAGAAATAGAGTACATACTTACTCAATAATTAATGGTTAGGCAGATTAACATTTCTGTTTATCATGCTGGAAATAGTCATTTCAACTTTTCCTGAATTAACCAGGGAGAAAATCCACATGTGTTTAAATGAGTCACATATCCCAGCTCCATACATCTGCAGCCTAGAGCTATTGCTCTCTAGCTTGTGTCATTTGGGGAGGTGGCAGCATTAGGAACAGGAGCTGCATTTGTTCTTCCTCATAATTCTGGAGGCAATCTTAATATATAGATTTTTAAAAGTTTGATTATAGTACATCTCATATGAAGCAATTGCTCCAGAACAAATCAAAAGGTAAATTTAGTGCCTGCTTCAGCAGCACATACACTAAAACTGAAAAGATACAGAGAAGATTAGCACGGCCCCTGCGCAAGGAGGATATGCAAATTCGCGAAGCGTTCCGTATTTTTGCTCAACATCAGGAAGACAGGAAATCCAATTAAAAAATGGGCAAAGAATATGAGCAGACAATCTTCCAAAGAGGGCGCACAGGGGGCCCATAAGCATATGAAGGGATACTCGACATCGCTGGCTTTCAGGAAAATGGAAATTAAAATCGCAACGAGATACCACCTCGCACAGATCAGAATGGCCATCATTAACAAATCAAGAAACAACAGGTGCCGGCCAGCATGAGGAGAAAAGGGAACTCTCGTGTGCGCTGTTGGTGGGAGTGCAGACTGGTGCAGCCACTGTGGAAAGCAGTGTGGAATTTCCTCAAAAAGCTAAAAATGGAACTGTCTTTTGACCCAGTGATTCCCCTGCTGGGACTATATACTAAGAATCCCAAAACACCAATTCAAAAGAACCTATGCACCCCAATGTTCATAGCAGCATTGTTTACAATAGCTAAGTGCTGGAAACAGCATAAATGCCTGTCAGTAAATGAAAGGATCAAAAAACTGTCGTACATTTACAAAGCGGAATACTATGCAGAAGAAAGAAAGAAGGAAATCCAGCCTTTGGTGACAGCATGGATGGAACTGGAGAGCATTATGCTAAGTGAAATAAGCCAGGCAGCAAAAGATAAATGCCATATGATCTTATCTGTAAGTGGAAACTAATGAACAAAACAAACAAATGAGCAGAATAGAACCAGAAGCATGAAAAAAAGGACAGACTGGCAGGGACCAGAGGGATGTGGGGCCGGGACTAAGGGGGGTAAAAGCGGAAGGGTCTAGTCAAGGAACAAGTAAAAATGACCCATGGACATGGATAACAGGGTGTGGACTGACTATGGCAGCGGGGGCTGTGCGGAAGGGGAGGGCAATGGGGGAAAATTGGGACAACTGGAATAGAACAACAATAAAGGAAAAGGTAAATTTATATAGAACAAGGGTAAAGCTATTTTTTCAAAGAACTCATAATGAATATAGTGAATTATTTGGTTAAACCAAGAATTCTTTCATAATATGTTTTCAGTGTCTTATCATTTTTATTATTTTTTTTACTTATTTTTAATCCTCACCTGATAATGTTTTATTGATTTTAGATAGAGAGGAAGGGAGAGAGAGAAAATATAGATTGGTTGTCTCCCATATGCACCCTGACAAGGGATTGAACCAGCAACTTAGGTATGTGACCTGACTGGGAATTGAAACCACAAATTTTACTTGAGATGATATGCTTCCTTATGATTTAATCTAGTTTTCTTTAAGTTACTTAAAATTGGAGATGCCCACCTAATAGAGTCTAGTGTATTTTTATAAAAATTTTTTGAATAAGGAGATTAAACTTTTAGTAAGTATTAACTAGAAACAAGATAGTATGTTTAATGTAGGTATATTCAGTAAACTGTGAGCCCTTGAAAAGTAAAAATGAGTGAAGAGTGATTCAAGGAAGGTTGGGAAAACAGCAGGACAAGGCAAGAGAATGAAGTCAGTAGCCATGCGTTTCTGTGTAGCCTGGGTCAGAGTGTGAGCTTTGTAAGAGAGATTTTTTTTTTTTTAAATCCTGAAGTAATAGATCAGATAGTAGCTACTACACCAAATAAAAAGACTGAATGTGGGTTTACATCTTTAGTTATAGTTGTTCCTTTTGAACCTGTTCTGCTTGTTTGCAGTTTAACCACTTATGGACCTGTGGAAGGTTACCAAAGAGCTGCCTGTTTATCTCTTAGAGATGGGGTGTTTTTCGTCTTGCAGCACTGGTATTCAGCTCTGGCTAGGTGGCGGGTGGATTTAGGGGGAGGGTCCCAGACTATGTGTGTCTAACCAGGGCCTGAGTAGAATCGTAGACTGTGGACTGTGGGAGAATGTGCTGGATTGGGACATGGGTGTGAGACCTGAGCAGAGGACAGAGAGCACACTTCAGGGAGGAGACCAGAGCAGAGGCCAAGAAGATGACTGTGTGGCTGGCTCACCCCTCTGGACGCCTGGAGCAACTTCAAGTGCTCTTCTGCTTCTGTGCAGGCAGAGCTAGAAAGGGTGTGCCACACAAGAGTAAACTCTTCAACTAGGACTTTTAAGACCAGGAAGTACAGTTTTGAAGAGAGCAGACCTTTCAGAGAAACATATTTTAAAGCTAGAGGAAACTTTAAGTTCAACAGCTCCCAATGTGTGTCTCTTACAATATTATTTCTTTGGTATATTAACAGAACGTAAAACTAGAGTTTGGAAAGGATTTTCTAGCTAAATACACTCAGAAAAGAATTTTCAAAACAATTCAAGACTTTTTTCTTTTTACTGCCAAAATACTCAGAATCTCATTACTGTGCACTGTGCACCTATTTATTCTTTGTGTATTCTCACTATACTTCCTTAGACCCTTCTCATTTTTTCTCCTGTTCTTGCAAAAATCATTTCTTGGTTGTGGAGCTCATGAAATGTATCTTAACATTGTTATTTGAGTTTAATCACAGAATGTTATAGGCAAGGAGACTAGGACCTGGAGAGAGAACTCAGATCAACAGGCTCACACCAGCAAGTATGAGTTCATGGCACTGTTACAATTCACATCTACTTGTATGACCCCAACTCTACTTTCTCTCTACCCCACGACAGTTTACGTCTTCTGTAATATCTAACAAGCACTGGCTTTCATGTCTTTAAAGATATCTTCACTGTTATTCATGTTGCTTGGTGAGTTTTTAAATGGAGTTGTTAATAACCATTGACTGGGCAGACATGCTTTAAATTTCTAGAAGGTGGGCCCAAATCAATGTATTGTTTGATCCTTTGAAAATGACATAGCTCATATGTGTCACAGGGATATAAAACACAGCAGTTATAAATGCTCTATAAAAACATAACATCTTCATTAAATAAGTGGTGTGCTGTATAAGCAGGAGCCTGGGAAGCCATCTATTTTATAGGATATCTCATGGAAATGGAAGAACCCTGTATTTATATTAGTTTAGCCATTGTTAAAAATGACGTGCTAGTCAGGACTTGAAGATTGAGTTCTTACCTAAGATAGATTCAACTTTTATATGTTTTTCTAAGTATAGTCTTGACTGTTGAAGAAGAATGATGAAATTATATGAACAGATTGCCTTATCTTGAAGTTTTAAAAAGGAGTAGTATAAAACATAGTATACAGCTATCTATCCTTTTATCTCTGAAACTTTTAGAGTGACATTATGGTGTGTTGGAAGATTGGAATCTCAGCTTATATCTTAGTAAACATTGCAAAATTTACTTCAAATAGTTAAGTAGGGTTCCATAGTGCATTGAAGCATGAGACAACAAAATGACAGACTATATAGGAAGAGTTGTTTAGCCAGTCAAGAGGAGAATATGAAAACTTGTCATTTTTAGAGTGCACAGTTACCAACTGTGATTCTAAACCACTAAATAGAGACTGAAATAGGAGTATTTCATGTGTTTGGATATAAAATAATGATGTCAAACTGTATTAAAATCTTGACATGTTGTAAAGTATTGAGAAATACATTGAAGTTCAACTGGTTAAACTTTTTTGAGTTACATATAAACAGGAAAATCAAGTGACTCAGGTAAAGAGTTGAATAATGGTTTCTTAATTATTAGATCATAGTAGACTAGACTCGTAAAAGCCATTACAGAGTTTTGACTGAAACAGCATAATCCTTCTGTGAGAATGATGAAGGCTGTAACCTATCGCATGGTAAAGTGCAGACATGAGCATTTATCATACTAAGCTCAGTTTACAAACAAAGGTTATTGTAAACACAGTTTGGCCACTAAAGAGAAGAAGAAGTCAGATATAGGCTCATCAAAATAGAACAAGAAACTTTAATATCCTACTAGGTACTGGTAATCAAAGGAAAATGCTGTGAAGAGGTGAGGAGAAATCTGGAATGCCTGTTAGAGACTCTCTTGTTGAGCTAATATGTTTAGATCTGAGAAGCTTGGAGGAAGGCCAAGGTGTGGAGACTGGACTGTGTGGTGTTTCCTGTCCCTGAGCTCTGCCAGCTGCAGGAAACTCAGGGCCTCTCTAGCCTGGGCCCTTCAGCCACCACATTCACACAGCTTCAAGGTTTTTCAGTCTTCAGGTCTTTTCAGGACATACTTAAGGTAATTTTCAATCAAGACCTATAAAATGCTCATTTTCATTTGAATTCAGAAGAGAATTAAAGTCTTTTTTTCCCCCCTGCAGGAGTACATTCTGTTCTAAATAAGTTAATATCTTTGTTTTGCCACCCAATAGGTGCAAGTACTCCTTAACTGATTATAAAAATATTTCTGTTGAAAGAGAAGTACAACAACAGTACACATTAAAAAAAGAACAACCAAGAAAACCCCCTCCAATATATATTTATAAAGGCAGATTTACTGTGAGATTAATAATGTTGAAGTTTCAGGTCCCTCACTTAGATAAGTTCTTTCTGAGACTTGGAAAGACCCTATGCATTATGTTCACATGATCATATGCTTGTGAACTATTTGTAAAAGTAATATAGTTTGTTTCATTTCTCTTGAACAGAACCTCCACTATATCTAGAACTGCCCCTTACTGTTTCTCTAATAGGCAAAAAACAGTCCTGACTTTTTATACTTTATATATCTGAGCTAATCTTAACTCCTCAATCATTGGACAATAGATTTTTTTTTTAAGTTGACAAACTGTGATATTGCAATACCTTCAGAGATATATGGATCTCCTTTTCAGATAACTTTGTCACATTTGTCCCTCTTGAGAAAACATTCAGTTTTCAGTGTTCTGGTCCCAGCTCCAGAACTTTTCCACTTCAAGATGAAAATCTGTCTTTTCTCCCCCTGTATATGGGGTAGAATACATGACTCCCTGGTAGCAGAGAGGAGGTGAGGGGTGACAATAAAATCTGTGTGCTAATCTTCTCATTCGTTGTTGGTGTCTAGTGTTTTAGTTGGTCTAGAGCAAGAGATCATATAAACTGTTTTTTCACCCAGTCAGGGCCTGATAATTCTTTAATTTCTTCTCAGTGGTACAGAATTTTGTGTAAGTAAAC